CAGGCTTTGCATTATGAGTGCAGAGCCTCATGTGGGGCTTGAACTCATGAAACTGAGATCGTGACCTGAGCTGAAATTGAGAGTCGGACACTTAACTTTGAGCCGCCCATGTTTATTTATTTTTGAGAGAGAGAGAGAGAGAGAGAGAGAGAGAGAGAGAGAGAGAGAGAGAGAATATGAACTAGCGGGGAAGGGGCAGAGAGAGAGGGGGACACAGAATCCGAAGCAGGCTCCAGGTTCTGAGCTGTCAGCATAGAGCCCGACACGGGGCTCGAACTCACGAACCATGAGATCATGACCTGAGCCAAAGTCGGACGCTTGATCGACTGAACCACCCAGGCGCCCCAGTATACACCTCTTTTTAAACAAGACACATTTTGGAGCATGATCTACCCTGTTCCGTATCTTCCTTTTCCCGTTCAACAAAGCTTTGGAAGTACTTCCAACCCCGTTCATACAGAAACGTCCTCACGTGTCATAATGATGCTCAGCACTCCATCTCGTGGATAATTAGGCTACTTCCCACATCAGTACAGGAGGGGCAGAGAGAGAGAGAAAAATCCCAAGCAGGCTTTGCATTATGAGTGCAGAGCCTGATGTGGGGCTTGATGTGTGTTTATAACGGGTCTGAAGTGGCCCCACACACATCTTGCACACCTGTCTGGGTGTACTACCTGCCCCGGGAAGCAGACCATACACCACAGCACACTGGATCTGTTCGTAATGACACAGGCTCTTAGGCACAAAAGGCGACAGAGGCACTCGGCCGCAGAAAGAGCGTTGGGCTCAGGATGTGCGTGGGAGAATCTGCCTCTTGTCCGAGACCGGGGTAGCTGCCCTTTGAGAATCTCCTTTTTTGAAATGTTCTCTGCCCTCTGGGATACCAGGTTCCTGGCTCCCCTGTTCCTAAGCATCATCAGCATCCTTTCTCCCGCCATTTTGTTGCTTCTAACACGTTTTAGGCTGAGAGGCCAAATAAACAAAGTTGTTTGGACTGTGACCAACAGAAAGAGGCATGAGGCTCCACGGAAGGGAGTTCAGCATTTTCTTTTTTTTTTCCAGAGTCATGGGTATGAGCTCTTCTGCGTGGACTTTGTGGCCTTTATGCTGCTCCTCTTGGGCTCTGGGTTAGTCCCAAGTTCCTGGCTGCTTCTGGACAGCAGAAGCTTCACCCACCTCTAGTGTGGAGGATGGAAGGGACCAAGAGGCCACTAGGGAGCTAACGGGACACAGGAGTGTTGTGTCCAGCTGCAGTGACGGCCGGTGTTATCCTGGCCCCATCTGACAGCAGGCTGACTCTTCTGAATAATTCTCTGTGTTTCACCAGGACAGGAGGAGAAAATCCTCCAGGTTGGGGACCCAGGAGAAGACGGAGAGGTCCGGGCGAGAGGACCCAGGAGAAGAGCAAACAGCTCGTCTCCCTTTCCTTGGTTATGAATTTTTACTATTTAAAAAAAAATTTTTTTTTCAACGTTTATTTATTTTTGGGACAGAGAGAGACAGAGCATGAACGGGGGAGGGGCAGAGAGAGAGGGAGACACAGAATCGGAAACAGGCTCCAGGCTCTGAGCCATCAGCCCAGAGCCCGACGCGGGGCTCGAACTCACGGACCGCGAGATGGTGACCTGGCTGAAGTCGGACGCTTAACCGACTGCGCCACCCAGGCGCCCCGGGTTTTGACTATTTAAAGTGTTTGCTTACATGCAGAAACCTGACAATAGGATTCTAGGGAACAACTCCTCCAGAATACTCGAATGATACCACAAACGGTAATAGTAATAACGGCAAATATTTATTACAGTTTTTGTAGTATTTTCCTAGCAGGGAGGCAATGTAACCTTGTTGTTCAGGGCAAGGCTCTGGGGGCGCCTGGGTGGCTAGGTTGGTTGAACTTTTGACTTTGAGTCAGGTCATGATCTCACGGTTCATGAGTTAGAGCTCCGTGTCGGGGTCCTCAATCACAGCATGGAGCCTGCTTGGGATTGTCTCTCTCCCTCTCTCTCTGCCCCTCCCGGGCACCTTCTCTGTCTCAAAAATAAATAAACAACAACAAAAAAAGAGCACAGACTCTGTCTGGGTTCAAACCCTGGCTCCATCATCACTCTCGGCATGGCCTCGGAGAGCTTATTTAACTCCTCTGCCTTGACTTTCTCATCTACAACACAGGGACGATACAAGGACTTACTTTATGGGGCTGTAAATGATGAAATGATTTAAAAACATGTCAACTTCCGGGGCACCTGGGTGGCTCAGTCGGTTAACTGCCTGGCTGTCGGTTTCGGCTCAGGTCACGATCTCACGGCTCGTGAGTTCCAGCCCCGCGTCAGGCTCCACGCAGACAGTGTGGAGCCTGCTTGGGATTCTCTCTCTTTCACTCTCTCTCTGCCCCTCCCCTGCTTGCATGTGCGCGCTCTCTCTCAAAAATACATCAACTTTAAAAAAAATTATGCAAAATAAATAAATAAAAACAGATCAGCTTCCAATCTCAGGTTGGCACCTGACACATACTTGATGAATGTTTGATAAATGTCACTTGTTGATATTAGCCTACTGATCATAGATTTAAGAATCAGAGCAAATGGGCAGAGCTCATAATCTGGTCAGTCACCGGACTCCAGGCTTGCAAATAAGGGCAGGTATATTCTCCCAGGAACAAACGGGGTCAACAAGTGAGCCAGACAGGCACGTGAAGTCCGCTTACGACCACCGCCGGGCATTAACGTGGCAATGTCAGGCCACGATGCAAGGCCATAACACAGCATACCATGATGGTGGCCGAGGTCTCATGGAAGAGAGATGAAGCGAGTGAGAGCCCATGGTTAACACTGAGGGAATTCTGCAAGCTGGACTATTAAGCACAGCCATTATTTAAACAATAAATTAGATAATGAGGCATGTGGGTGGCTCAGTCAGTTGAGCGTCTGACTCTTGATTTTTGGCTCAGGTCATGATCCCAGGGTCATGGGATTGAGCCCTGTGTTGGGCTCCATGCTGAGCACAAAGCCTGCTTGAGATTCTCTGTCTCTGTCTCTGTCTGTCTCTCTCTCTCTCTCTCTCTCTCTCCCTCCCTCCCTCCCTCCGACCCTCTCCCCTGTTCGTGTGCACACACTCTCTAATTAAAAAAATATATATAAATTAGGGGTGCCTGGGTGGCTCAGTCGGTTGAGCGTCCGACTTCAGCTCAGGCCGTGATCTCACAGTCCGGTCTGTGAGTTCAAGCACCGCATCGGGCTCTGTGATGACAGCTCGGAGCCTGGACCCTGCTTTGGATTATTCTGTGTCTCCCTCCCCTCTCTGTCCCTCCTCCACTCGCACTCTGTTTCTCTGTCTCTGTGTCTCAAAAAAAAAAAAAAAAAAAAAAAAAAAAAAAAACACATTAAAAAATAAATAAGCTTACAACTAATTAAATTGTATTACAAAAAAACAAAGGTAAGGCTATTCAAAACTCATCATATCTGAATGATTGTTACCCACTCTGCCTGGGAAGTGGAAATACCATGGAGGGTGACCACCACAAAGGTGGGAGTATTTCCACCACAGAAATGGACAGGTTTGTCTGGGTGCTTGTGCAGTTCTCACAAGGTGCCGGAGTAAAAAGCGTTAATCGTGCAGATGAAACTTCAAAGCGCATCACGCCCGCAGCCATTTACAGGGACGAGAGCAACAAAGAAAACCCAAGTGTTCTTTGGCTGTTCAAAGACGCTCACGTCACCGACCCACTAGTGAATCTGTGCCACGAGCCTTCCTCATTTCGTGTTGTCTTACTTGTTCAGGTTCACGTGGGCACTAGGGTGGCGATGGACCCTGGGCAGCATTCATGAGCCCAGCAGGGTGTGGAGCCCCGAGGCTCGCTTAACAAAGAGGCGGAGGACGGCCTGTCACCGAGGGGTGACAGGTGCAGGCGTGCGGGTGCCTAACTGCTCTGACAGGCAGGGAGCAGACACTGGTGCCCCCGACAGCACGCGGAGCTGGCTGGGCCCCGGGCCTCGGAAGACCCGGCGGGATGGTCAGGAGGAAGGAGGGAGGTGAGCTGTTCTCCACGTGGGAGCTGTGGACGCGGAACCCTGCCAAGACCACACTGGCTGACTCTGGGGATCCCGCTGGGAGGGGCCACGGAAGCAGTGGGTGAGTGAAACGGGTGCAGGCTGGGCAAGAGGTGGTCAGAGTAAAGCCTGGTTTGCAAGTCTGCTGGCCTGGATGTCGGACAGGGAGAGTGCTGGGCTCATCCTCATGTACTGAGTGACAGCCTGCAACTGGCCAGTGTGCAAACAGCCCAGTGCATGGCATTCCACGTGCGGGCATGCACCGGGGTCTCACGTGGGAAGCACGGCCCAGTTACGGCATCAGGGGGAAGAGCTGGGTTCTCCCCAGCCTTGCCACCGCCCTCCTCTGGCCAGGAGCTTGGCTCGGGGGCTTCGTCAAAAGGAAGCTTCTTCCAGGGTTCATGTGATGAGTGTTTCTCTATACGAGGAGACCCTGTTGTAAGTGAGGGTCAAGGAGAAAGTGCCTCTGGCGAGGGGGACGTTCCTGCAGCGAGCCTCTGACCCTGAAGCCACACCTGGAGGACCCGTGCCCACTCGGCAGCCCGGCGTGTCAGCTCCCGGTGAGAAGCACGTTCTACGTGCTCAGAAGCCCAGATGTGCTATGCCAGCCTTGCTGCTTAACGGGGACCTTGGGCAATCGCGCGCGTCTACCCGAGCCTCAGTTTCCCCATCTAGGAGATATGGGGAGGCGAGACGGGAAGGAAATGCTCTCTAGAGACACTTCCCGTGCCAGCAGTCTACAAGCCTACGGAAATGCTTCTGCGTGTGCCCACTTTCTTTGGCGTTAAGGTGCTGAACCTCTCTGTGTTCGACTCCCGGCACGGGAGGAATGTAGGAGACAGGTGGGGGGGCACGGGGGAACCCCAACAGGTGCCTGATGCTTTGCCCCGGCTCCATGTCGGGGCACGTGGCCACTCAGACGCCCCCACACCACCCTCCACGCGCTCCGGCCCTCACCTTGCAGCATCGCCGACGTGGTATAGTAGTTGAACGGCACGTTTTGCACCAGGTACTCCTCGGTGTCGAGGCTGGCCAGCTTGGTTCCCACCAGGACCGACTTGCCGACCCCCGCGGTCCCCACCAGCATGACCGGCCGCCGCCGCTCCAGGAGCCGCTCCAGGAAGTAGCACACTCGGACGGTCTCGCCCGTGGGCACCAGGCAAGCCTGCGGGGAGGACACGATGGGCAGGCTCGTGGGAGAAACAGATGCAGGGCGGAACGTTCCGGAACATTTCAGAAGAGGGTCTCCCCCTGGCAAGGGGGCGCTGGCTCACTACCTGGGGCAGGGGCGCCTTCCTTCGCATGCATGCTAACACCACTCCGGGAGTTCATTCTCGGGGTGGAGAGATCCCCTCCCTCCTCGGCCAGCTCCGTCTGCCTCCCTGTGGCCTCTCTAATGCGCTTTAGAACCTTCTGCCCCCAGGATGCCGCTGGAGTCTGCGAATCAAGTTAGCTAGTCTTTGCGGGGTTTCTGTGGCTTCCCTGCACCGAGAGTCTCCTCTGGAAAAGCACGTCGCTGGGCATGACTGGTTGCCAGCAAGGTTAAAACACTTGAGGGCCAATAACGGGCTGTGACTAGGACCGCTACGGATCCTTGGCACAAGCAGACATCCTTGGTCACTCGGCCACACTCACCTGCAGAGGCATCTCGGGGTCGAATTCAAACTGGGGGATGAGCTTGGACCAGGGCTCGAATTTCTTGGTCTCTGGGTCTATGTAGTAGTCAAAGACGGTTCCCTGGGAGGGAAACTTGACTGTCTTGAAATGCGCGAGCCACCACTTGCTGAACTCTTCCCGGTGGTCCGCAAGCTGCCAGAACAAAGCGGGTCAGGAGGCGAGGCTCTCCAGAGCTTGCGAAGCCTGGACAGACTGCCCGGCCGTCGGGCAGAAGGTCGGGGCCATGAAAGGCTTTGCAGACCTGCCCGATGGAGTGGCTTCTCCAGGAAGGATGCTGCTTCCCTGAGGATCAGCCCTGACGAGACGCATCAGTGCGGGGACACGAGTGCCACCGCTCGACCGTGGGGCTGAGTCCCCCTGGCACTGTGCATCTGAGACTCTTCACGGGGTGTGAGAACACCAAAAAGAGTGGGGTCCCATGACCGCAAGATGAAAAGACAGATCGACCCCCTTCCTCCCAGACCGCAGAGACCCAGCAACTCCAGGGTGGCGGTTAGGGACGGAACGGATACAAATGGAGGCTGTTGGCACCTGGGGGGTGCAGGGCGGTGGCGTGAGAAGAGCCTCGCCTCCTTCTGTGCCTCAGTGTCAGCTGTGAAATGAGCACCCCAGAAAAGAGAACTTCCAAGGACTCTGAAGGTCTTCCTTCAAGAGCTAAAATTTATTTTTTTTTTAAGTTTATTTCTTTTGAGAGAGACAGGAACAGTGCAAGTGGGGGAGGGGCAGAGAGAGAGACAGACAGACAGACAGAAACAGAATCCCAAGCAGGATCCGCTAACCAGCGCAGAGCCTGATGCGGGGCTTGAACTCACGAAACCACGAGATCGTGACCTGAGTCGAAATCAAGAATCGGACGCTTAACTGACTGAGCCACCCAGGTGCCCCAAGAGCTTTCTAAAACGTAAGAGCAGCAGAGCCAAAGCTAAACTGGTCTTTCTGACAGAAGGAATAGGTAGAGATACATGATTCACATGCACGCGTGTTAGATCACGAGCCCCTCAGGGCTGCGCGCCCGGTGTACTCATATTATCTTACTATAGGGGCACCTGGGTGGCTCAGTCGGTTGAGCTTCCGACTTCGGCTCAGGTCACGATCTTGCGGTTGATGAGTTCGAGCCCCGCGTCGGGCCCTGTACTGACAGCTCAGAGCCTGGAGCCTGCTTCCAAGTCTGTGTCTCCCTCTCTCTCTGACCCTCCCCTGCTCATACTCTGTGTCTGTCTCAAAAATAAATAAACATTAAAAAAATTTTTTTTTAATTATCTTACTATGTCCAAGCCAAAACATGCCAGACACGGGCACATGCATGCACCCCATAACATACCCGCGACTACTGGCAATAAGCCCATTCTTTGAGCATACAGACCTAGGAAAAATCTCCAAAAAGGAAACCTAAAAAGAGACCCAGACTGGACATTTTAGGGAAATGTTCCCGGAGGGCGGGACAGACGAGGAAGCTGGGCACGTGGGCAGTGATTCTGGGCTTGCGGCCAGTGGGGCAGCTCACTTTGTTGCCTACTGGGTAAGTAGGACTGAATTCTCTTGCTTTGGAATGAGAACGGAAACAAGTCCCGATACAGACGGACAGATCTGTGTGTTCTTATTCTGACACGAATTCAGACGAAGGGGGTGCAGGACCTTCTCAGTAATGTGCTCTGCGACCGGAAGCCTTGGAGGAAAAAACCTATTTTTGACTCATGGATACAATCCTTCAAGATTTTCAACGTCCCTTAAAAATCGGATTGTAGATTTACGTGGAAAAACCAAGGCGAAGGTCACCTTTAGAAGAAAACAGGTTGCCGACTAATCTATGACAAAGCAGGAAAGAATATCCAATGGAAAGAAGACAGTCTCTTTAACAAATGGTGCTGGCAGAACTGGACAGCAACATG